GAGGCCCATTCCGGCGTAACAGCTCCCAAATGGGGCTTAATCCTCCTTAATCTTTCCGACGAAAACCTCCCAGCAGTTGCCTCCTAACGTCTCGATGTTTCTGATAAGACGTCTGCTGTTTGGGGAAGGGACGTCAGTGCCCTTCGGCAGCCTCTCGCGGAGATCCGCCAAGGCCAAGAGAAGGCTGCCGCCGGAGTCGCCGACGCAGAAGGTCCCGCCGCCGTCCCACCCCGGATGCAACAAGCTGATCGACTCTCTGCCGGGGCCTTGGCCCGGGGCGTGGTTAGGGGAACAAAAAGTGACATAAACATAAAAACTCGGAGGTCCGTGCGGATTTCTCGGATCGGCGCTGGGGCCCCTCGGCGGCGCCTCCGGCGTCGCCCTTGGCGCGCTCCGCGCGCCAGGGAGGGGGTCCAGCGCCGATCCGAGAAATCCGCGCGGACCTCGGAGTTTCTATGTTTATGTCACTCTTTGTTCCCCCAGGCGTGGCGGGGTGGGCATTCCTCCTCCCGGTCTTCTCCCTTCCATCCCTCCCGCCAGCCCTGCCAGGGGGCCAGAGCAGATAGCCTCGGAGGATCGCGCCGCATCGCCGACGCATCGGCGATGCAGCGCGAGATTTAAGTCGGGCCTGTCCCTCTACAGGGTGAAATTCAAAAATAGTCCAAAAATAGTCGGGTGATTATTTTTTCAATAATATTTTAAAACAATTTTGGCATATGTTTTGAGTATTTTTAATTTCTCGTCGAAAACCCCCCTGCAGGAGGACAGGCCCGACTTAACGCGAGATGGAGCCCATTCTTCTCCATCCCGCCGTCGCCGATGCACCGGCGGTGCAGCGCGATCCTCCGACCCCGTCTGCTCTGGCCCCATTTGGAAACGCTCTCCAGAGCGTTCTGGAGCGCCTTGGGACGGCCGCGGCGCCCGGAACACTCTCTAAGTCCGCCGGCGTGCAGAGAGCCCCGATTTGTATTGGTCCGATTCTGTCGAAAGTTTGGCTTCGTCTTACCTTGTGATCCCTGCTCCCTCCCCCGCCCCCCTCCCCGCGTCCTTTGGCGCTCAGACGCTCAGAAATTGTTGCCGGCCCTCTCACAGGGGAGGTCGCGGGCGCATTCGGGGCAACTGCGGGCCAGATCGGCCTCGCACAAAGCCTACACTGGCTCCACCGAGTAGTTGTTGCCAGCACCAAGACTACGGCAGCTGCTTCGTGCTCCTCTCCCTCCTTCCTCCTCCGCCTCCTCCCCAGCCTCCTCTTCCTCCTCCTTCAGGCATCCCCCCTCGTCCTCCCCCTCCTCCTGCCTCCGCCCTCTTCATTCTGTCACTCACAACGCTGCTACTCTGCGGAGCCGCCAAGCACTTTTTGATCCGCGGGTCGAGAGCGCACCTCTTCCGGTCGAAGCCAAGCGGGCCGCGCGCGAGCTTGAATTAGGCAGAGGAGAGGAGGGAGGGAGCGGCGGAGCCTCAGAGCGAGGCCGAGAGGAGGCATAGCCTCGGATGCAGGCGGTGCCGAAGCCGAAGTGCGCGGAGCCGCCAGGCGCTCGGGCGCCGCTCTGCTCACGAGCCCGGCGTCGGGCACGACGGGGCGCTCCCACCGCGGGTTCGGCCCCGCGGGGGGCACGCGCCCGCTCCGGGGATCGCGGCGGGCGCCCCTCTTCGACCGGCGAGAAGCCTCGGGCGCCCACCTCGAGCCCTCGCTGGGGCACCATTCGTCAGGAGGGAGAAAAAACACACAGACACACTGAGTCGTCGATTCCCCAGAAGAGGTGGAAAAATAGGGGAAGGGGGGGGGGAAGACAAAACCCCAGAAGATGTGGGGAAGCCTGCTGTTTGTGTGTACTTAGTCCTTCGATTCCACGTGCACGCGCGCCTCTTGCCGTCTTCCGTCTCCTCCCGAATCCTCTGAATGACGGAGGTCGAGACATCTGAAGCTTCGTGTCTGCTCGAGTCGCCCGCCCTTTGGAACTCGCGATCCCTCCCTGGGGGCCGTCTCTCGTTCCGAGCCGTTTCTTCGTGGCCCCCGGGTCCGTCCCAGCGCCTGACAGTTGAGAACTTTCGAAGGTGCGCGTTCTGTCCAGCACTTCGAGTGTAGTTTAATCGCTTCGCTCGTTCCGCCGGCCCGTTTTGTGCCATCGCAGGCGTTTGCCTGCGCGTTCGTGCTTCTCGGGGGCCGTTTGGGAGCCTCTTAGAGGTCTCTTACATAGGGGCCTCGTGGGGCCTCCAGGGGGCCTCCTGGGCTCTCTCGGGGGCCTCCTGGAGGCCTCTTGGGGCGGAAGGCTCGAACTGGTGGTTCGTGTTCCCCCTCTTGGGGCCGTCTTGGGGCCCTATTGGGCGATCTTGGGCGCCGCCTCTGGTGCCGTCTTGGGGCCCTCTTCGACCGTCTTGGGGCCCTCTTGGGGGCCTCTCGCGCCGTCTTGGGGCAGTCTTGGAGGCCTCTGGGGCCATCTTGGAGCGTCGGAAACCCGAAAACGCGAGAATGCGAAAATCATCGAAGAAGTACAAGGCAAATCAATGATCGTAGCTTTTTTGGGCCCTCTTTGGTCCCCTCGCAGCTTTTGGGGCGTCTTGGGGCCATTTTGAGTGTCTTGGAGAGCTCTTGGGCCGCGATTCCGATTCGTGGGCCCTTTTTAGAGCTGCCTTGAGTTCCTTGGGCCGCTCCTGGGGCGATCTGGAGGGCCCCGAAAACCGCCCCTGGGATGTCCGGCATCCTTGAGCGCACCTTCCCGGGGCCTTGCCGGGAGTCGGCCAGGGTGTTTTCTGTTTGGGGACCCCCTGGAGCTGCCCCACGTGCGCGAATTAGAATAGACGTATAGTGTGTGAGCCAGTTGCCGGAGATCTTAGCACGCCTCTGGCCCGTTGGGCCAGCGAGTGTGGCCGCGGCGGCAAGAAAGTTCCCACACACCCACACACACACGCACACACACACACACGCACACACATCGATCCCTGAACCTCGATCCGGCGAGATTTCTTCGAAGGGCCTACCCGACTGCAAGTGCTGCCGAGGACGTGGCGCGTGTCCTGGCTGGAGTGGAGCATCGCTGGGGACAAGCGCTCTTTCAGCCGCCCCATCGACGTCAAGGCGCGCGCGATGACCCGACATGAAGGAGGTGGGTCCATGAGGAGACGGGTCCTCAGGGGGTTTTGCCACCTTCGACCCCCAGGCTCCACCCTGGGTCTGGGACCAGTTGTTGTGTTTGGCAGTTGTTCCACGGTGGTGTGCTTAGGACCCTTGTTGCCAATCAGACTCTAAGGCTACGTCCGGCTCCTTGCAGTCTTAAAACAACTGTTCCGCTTTAGGGGGATGTGAATGTACAAAAAAGTATGTGTGGGAATGGCACCCGTGACACATTCGGTTTTTTGCAGGGAAATTTCCCCGTGGTTGTGATTGGATTCGTCTTCCGGGTCGTATTCGCGGGACGCACAGCTATGAGCGTTCTTGGATAGATTATGTGTTTTCCCTAATTATCTAGGCTCTGCCTAGAAGGGTTCTTACTGTGTTGGCTTAAAGGGCCGGGCAGTGGTCCTCGCCCCGGGCGGTTCCCCTGGCATCCGCCCCGCGGTTCCACCAGTTGCGCCCCCTGGGTTCACCCAGCTTAGCTTAGCTTAGCTTATCTCATCTTAGTTTAGCTTAGCTTAGCTTTGCCTAGCCAAGCCTAGCCTAGCTTAGTTTAGCTTAGCTTAACTTGGCGTAGTACGGCTTAGCTTAGCTTAGCTTATATCATATTAGCTTAGCTTAGCTTAGCTTAGTTTAGATTAGCTTAGCTTAGCTTGGTTTAGCTCAGCTTAGCTTAGCTTTAGTTTAGCTTTAGCTTAGATTTAGCTTAGCTTTAGCTTAGCTCTAACCTAGCTCTAGCTTAGCTTTAGCTTAGCGCTAGCTTAGCTTTAGCTCAGTGCTAGCTTAGATTTAGCTTAGCTTTAGCTTAGCGCTAGCTTAGCTTTAGTTTAGCTTTACTGTTACTACTAATGCTGCTTTCCTAGGGGCTCCAACTCCTAGGTAGGGTCGCACTGGGATAATTTTGTGCTCTACAGACATCATTTGAAATGTGCCAGTGCTCTCCAGCTGGAAATCAGCCCCGTGCGTCCTCATTGGGCACCCCGTTCGGCGTGGTTGATATGACCGCGGCCTTGAGCAAACATATTCGTCATAACTATTGATGCTACGAGTTGTTGTTTCATATTTGGATGGCAGTGGTTTGGTGATTAACCTGGCCTTGGCCAAGTGTCCCACCCGCAAACCAAATCGTGCTTGTCCAGGCCACCTCTCGCCAGCAGTGCAGCCCATGATCCAGCGAGCCCATGAGTTTACAGCAGTGCGTTGCCAAAGCTAGAGGCTTGCAGACCTTCTGCCGGAGTCGCTGGGTCACCCTGGTCATCATCACCACCATCACGCCCGCCGTGCACATGAAGACCGTGAGCGGCTGCTCAAAGGCCATCAGCATCACAACCATGATCCATCGTTGTGTCAACGCGCGCGGCGCTTGATTCAGTGTTGAACCCGAGGATGAGATCCATCTTCACCACCGTCCGTAGCCGTTTTGGCTCAGGGCCGCACCCGAGCCCGCCGCCTCGCGCGCGCTCGGCGCCTGCGCGACGCGAGCGATAGCTGGCGGCGACGTCGGCGCGTGGGCAGCTGCACACACAGAGCGCCGTCTCTCTCAGCGGGCAGGCTGGCAGGAGTGACCGGCCGCGGCCGCTTGCCGGCGGAGTTCTTGTCATCAGATTGTAAGTTACGGAAGTTTCCGCTTGATAGTTCCAAAGAGCGCTGGATAGCTCCAAGAAGCTTCCTGTCATCAGATTGTAAGTTGAGTGTGTATCAGCAGAGAGTGCCAAATAGCGCTTGATAGCTCCAAAGAGCGCTGGATTTGCACTCAACAAATAGCGACCAACAGCGCTCAACTATGTAAGGGAGCCGCATTCTGTCCGTTTTGTATGCGATTGGGCGCGCTATTGGGAGCTATTGGGAAACCAAAAACTTCTGTAAGTTGCTTCCTAAGTTGTCGGAGATGCTGTCGCATGGTAGCCACGACGGCATCCAGGGATCCGAGCACATGCTGCCAGAGTTCGAGGTCGGCGACGACACGTACCAGGTGCGGAGGCCAGTGATGGCTCCCAGGCGTCCCGACTATTCTGTCACAGTCGACCGCACTGGAGGGAAGCCGCTCGGTATTACTTACGATTATTCCGACGGCGCGAGAGTGGTGATCAAAGACATGCAGCCTGGCCTTCTATACGATTGGAACCGTACGGCGGAACAAGACTCTTGGGTGCTGCTTGAGGACAGCATCGTTGCCGCAAACGGGGTCGAGGGGGATGTGGACCTCGTTATTCAGGAGTGTCTGAAGCACGATCTGTTGCATCTGAAAATGCGGCCTCCAGATGTTGACCCAGAGGTGCCTCCCGTCTGCCTCACGCGAGACCCCCGAGTGCTCGTGCACGTCTACGACCTCGTAGAGGGCGCGGCCGTGAAATGGCTCAATAACCACTGGCCGCGCAGAGGCTTCTTTCACACGGGCGTGGAGGTCTATGGCAGGGAATGGTTTTTTTGTGGCACCGAGGGCGCTTTCCACGGAGTCTACTCTGTGACGCCCAGGTGTAACCCGCGCCACGTCTACAGGAAGTCGGTCCTCATGGGCCACACGATGCTGGACCCTGGTGACTTCGCAGACCTTGTGCCCATGATCCGCATGAGGTGGCCTGGGTGGACCTATCACGTAACCCAGCGGAATTGCCACGCGTTCACAGCAGAAGGGCAAAAGGCTGCATAATAATTTGTCCTCGGAGGTCCACGCGGATTTCTTGAACCGGCGATGGTCCCCTCTCCCTGGCGCGCGGAGCGCGCCAGGAGCGGCGCTGGAGGCGCCGCTAGGGGGACCCAACGTCAATCCAAGAAATCCGCGCGGATCTCCGAAATATTTCAGTCAACATTCATGGTAATGGCGCGGCACGTCTGCAAGGGCACCCTTGCATCCTTGCCTCCTCGGCCAATCCTTGGCCAGCTTCTATCTCCAGGGGCGTCAAACATGGAAGGTCCGAGGGCCCTGCATCCTTGCCTGGCGCCCGTGCCATCGATCTTGGCTGTATACGCTGATGTTATGGTCTTCCAACCTACTTGCGCCTTGATCACCGGAAAGAATTTCGAGCGCCAGAAAAAATACCGAAACTCACGGGTGTTCACGTGTCGGGCCCTGGGAGACACTTGCCCGACACTGTCTCGACACTCTTTTGACACTCTCTTGACACTTTTCTGGGTGCTCGAAATTATTTCTGGGATGCGGTCCTCAAGTAGGATGGGAACAACATAACGCGGATAGACACGCCGGTCGCTGAAAGTATGTATTTTTGGATTCCCAGATCCCAATCTACCTCAAGCGCCTTCGTACTTCAACAATCGATATGTTTTGGCCGTGTTTTGTTGTTATCTGGGAGGACCTGGACCCAATCCACTATCTCCGCCTTCCTACTTCATGCTTTCACCACCCACCAAACCACCCCAACCCAACCCGAAGGCCGCAATTTGCCCTCCATTTCCATTGGGGGGGGGTCGGGGAACATTGAAAAAACACATATGGAACTCGTACCCCCTCAACCCGAAATTGGGGTCTTCGGGTTGGGTTGGGGTGGTCTGGTAGGTAGTCATGCTTCTACCTACTTCTTCCGACCGACGTGTATACGCTGATGCAGGTTTCCGCCCTTCCGCACCAGACTTCCTCTGCAGGCTGCTCGGCTTCCCCGCCGGGCCAGCCTTCGGGCTCTTCGCTCGCGGGGACCCCGCGCACGCGGTGGGCGAGCCGTGGAGCTGCCTCTGCGGCCTCGGAGCGCCCCGCGCGGCGGCGCCCTCGGCGCGCCCGGACCAGGCGCGCCCCCGAGGCAGCACCCCTCGCAGGTCGGGAGCGGCAAAGAGGGGGGGGATGACTCTTCCTCCTCCTCCAACTCCTCCAACTCCTCCTCCTCCTCCTCCTCCTCCTCCTCCTCCTCCTCCTCCTCTTCCTCCTCCTCCTCCTCCTCCTCCTCCTCCTCCTCCTCCTCCTCCTCCTCCTCCTCCTCCTCCTCCTCCTCCTCCTCCTCCTCCTCCTCCTCCTCCTCCTCCTCCTCCTCCCCCCCTGGGGGGGGGGCGGATCTCATGGCGGGGGGCATGAGATCTCCCCAGATCTCATGGCGCCTCGTCTCATTCCATTGCGTCCCTGGCTCCCCCGCTGGGCCGCGCACGTGCCGCCAGCCATGGTTTGCGCCCCCTCCTCTGGGACGCCCCCCCTCCTGGCCGCTCCCGAGAATGGGGGGCGCCGCCGCCCCGCCCCGACCCGAAGAACCATCGAGCAGTGGCGGAGCGTCTCGGTCTGCCTATAGGCCCACCAGAGGAGGGTCTGCGAACCTTTGGAGGTCTGCACGGCATGTTCTCAGAGCATGCCTGGCCGGGACGGCCTTGTTCTGAGACGTCGGGCTCAGGTCATGAGAACACCTGCTTCTGTCCTTAGAACATCCTTTGGGGGTTCGAAGACAATCTCGTGGTAGGCCTATAGGAATGCTGGGACGGTCGGTCCCCGCTCACAAGAACAAAGACCAACGCCGGTATAGTTTCTCGGAGCTCCGCGCAGAGATCCCTCTCCGCGCCGGGCCCCCTGTGGCGCGCCCCGCGCGCCAGGGAGGGGGGGCCCAGCGCCGATCCGAGAGATCCGCGCGAAACTCCGAGAAATCCTTCTCCTCCGCCCATGGCGACGGGGCCCCGGCGGGACGGGCCGGAGCAGGCCCTCTCTGACCCGGCGGCGGTCCCCCCGCAGCACGGGCCGGGGCGGCGGGGCGTGGCCGACCCGGCGGCGGGCCCCGGGCGGCGCGGGCCCGAGCTGGGCGCGGCCGTGGCCGAGCCGTCGGCGGGCCCCTGCGGGGACAGAGCGGAGCAGGCCACGATCTGAGCGGTGGACAGCGGGATCGGGGCCGCCGCTGCGTGGGGGGGGGGGGGGGGCGAGTGTGGGCTGTCCCCTTCGGCGACCACAGAGGGTGTGCATGCGCCGAGGTTGTGGTTCGTGACCGGCGCCGCTGGGGCCTGGGGTGCACGACACCGTCCTCGTCGGGCCTCCTCGCGGTGCGGCGGAGAGCTCTGTCGGGGTCCTCGCCTGCCCCCCAGGGGGCTGGTTGCAAACCACACCCTTCGCAAGCCACACCCTTCGCAGTAGCCGACCCCTCGCCGCCCAAACCCAGGCATCCACGTCTGGAGACCAGCCTGGGGATGGGCCTAACCACATGCAGTTGCGAGGTCCGCGAGGCAGGCGAAAAGAAGGATGGGGGGATGGGGTGGGCGACGTTGGCGGGGGGACGCGCGCCGGCCATGCCATGCCACTGAGGCCTTCAGCGGGGCGCCCCATTGGGGCCGCGAGGCGTATACGCGAGGGGTCTGCCAAAGTGCGCATGGGGACGCACGTGATTCCTGCCGCTGCGGCGTTCGGTGGAGCTTCCTGAAGGGCATCGAGACGTGTGAGGTGTGCGCGTGCGTGTGCCAAAACGCGCACGTGGACGCCGCGTTTCCTGCCGCTGCGGCCCTCGGTGGAGCTCCCTGATGATGTGGCGACGAAAGGTGCGAGGGGTGTACCAACACGGGCATCAGGACGCACGTGATTCCCGCCACTGGGGCTTTCGGAGGACTTCAAGGGGGCCACTTCCGTCTGCGGGCGAGCTTCTGTTTCGGTTGTTGTTTCAGAAACCCAGAACAGCCCACCATTTAAATAGCTGCTACGCTAGGCCAGGTCATGCCGTCATGCCGCTGCAAGTACTTTAGTTTTGGCATGTGTTCAATCGTACGCGAACACATGCAGGATATGTGCGCGATTGGAAGTAGCTGCCCCATCCCTTGACCTAAAATGTGCAGGTGGGAATATGCGGGCTCCGGACTCAGAAGCGCGGGCAGACCATATTTGGAGGGGCGAACAGATCCCTTCCCTTCGTCCAGGCTGGGTGATGGACTCACCCATCCGTCCACCCGCCTCTGCCTGAACGGAGGGGTCCCGTCCACCGCCCAACCAGGACGGTGGGTGTCTTTCAGCCTCTCCGCCTGGACGGTGGGGGTCCGCCCACCGCTTGCCTGGACAGAGACACTCGTCCACCTCTCGCTGCCTTGACGGATGGGATTCGTCCACCTCCCCGCCCGGTCGGAGGGGCTCCGTCCACCCCCAGTGGCTGGACGGAGGAGATCCGCCCGCTGTCTGGACGGACCCCCCCCCAGTGCAAGCGGGGAGGTGGACGGGCCCCCTCCATCCAGGCAGCGATCTGGGTGGGCGGAGGGAGGGGGTCTGGCCGGGGAGCGAGGAGGCGCACGGACCTCCTCCGCGGAGGCTGCGGAGCCCCCTCCGTCGAGGCGCGGGAAGGTGAAGTGGACAGACCACCTCCGTCCAGGCTGGCCCGCCGATCAAAAGCCCCCCCCCCCCTCCGTCTGGCCGCCGCCCGAGCTGGAGGGCGGAGGGCCAGGGGGGGGCACGTCAGTCCGTGGCTCGGGTGTGCGCAGGCCCGCTCTCGGGTTGACCTAAAAGGAGGTCCAGCGACAAGGGGGTGGTGCAATAGATTTGGTGCAATAGATCTGTGGAGTTGCAATGCATTTGGGGTGTGCGTTACACTCCGGGGCGCAAATGTATTGCTGGATTTTCGCGCGCAATGCATCACTTGCAATACAAATGCAATGCAATTTTCCGGCGCAGCACGTTTGCAATACAATTGCCCCAAATCTATTGCACCACCCCCCTTTAAGCTGGACCTCCTTCTGGGCCACCCAAACGCTCGCGCCCCATGGCCGGCGGGTGTCGTGTTGCTGGGCTCGCTCGCGAGCGCCCACTGGGGGGCGAAGGTGCGTCCAGGCGCCCAGGGCTCGGTCCAACATCCTCCTCCTCCTCCTCCTCCTCCTCCTCCTACTCCTCCTCCTCCTCCTCCTCCTCCTCCTCCTCCTCCTCCTCCTCCTCCTCCCCTTTCGACCCCTCCTGTCATCTCCTCGTCCTCCTCTCGCTCCTCGTCCTATCGTCCTATCTCCGACCTCCTCCTGCAGCTATGAATCTCGATGCGGTAGTATCTTAGACAGCGTGGTCCAGGCCCCCGAGCTCTTGATCCGACAGCACCCACACGTTGATCGAGTGCCCCCCGAAGTTGACCCAACCTTCCCCTGAGCTTCACCCAACATGCCATGAAACTCGACTCCACCTCCCCCCCCCTTGATGTGCGGCCCTGGACCTTGATCGAAGTGCCGGGGTCTCGCTCATGCTGGTTCGGGGCGTCGGCAGTCTTGCGAGGCCTGAGGGAAACGTTGAAGAAGTCCACCGCAGGGCAGGCGCCGACGTCTGTTGCGCACTGCGCCACGAGCCCGCCGGCGGAGCCAACTCTTCTCTTCGTCACAGCAGCGCGGGTGGGTCGTGGCCGTCTTCGTCAAAGTAAGGCGGGTGGGTGGCGGGTGGGTCGAGGGTGAGTCGCGGGTGGGCAGCGGGTGGGTCACGGTGTGGGCCGCGGGTGAGTCGCGGGTGGGTCGCGGGGTGGGTCGGTGATGGGTCGCGGGGTGGGTCGTGTGAGGTGCGGGGTGGGTCGCGGGCAGGACGACGACAGCAAGGCGATCACCAAGCAACGACAACAACATCAGCAACAGCAGCAATGATAACAACACCAACAACAAAAAACAACAATAGCAACAACAGTAACAACAACAACACCAGTCACTTTGAGACTGTTCGCTATTATATGTTCACGTACCGTTCAACACGTGTATCTCAAACCCTCGATACCCGCCCTCTTTGTCGTCGATCGTACCCCCTTACGGGTATACATTTCTTACCTGGAACGCGTATTTCGTGCAGCCCCTAAGGCAGGATAAGAGAGGACGGATGGAAGGAAGGGACAAGGGCCAGGCGGGTTGCTGAAGCGTGCGTCCTGCATGAATCGCAAGGAGAGCTCAAGCGATAGTGCGATTCCCAAAATAATCTTTAGGACATCCATAGCGAGAGTGTGACTCCTGAGTGTCGAGGGCGCGGCGTCTGAATAAATTGCGAGGAAGTCCCACGCGAGAGCGCGATTCTTGTATACACTGTGAGGAAGTCCCGCGCGAGCGCGATTTGGGACGAAATTGTGTGGAAGTATCAGGCGGGAGCCATTGTTGTTGTAAACCAGGGCTCAACAACACAGCTTGGTGACACTTCATTTTCCCTTGTATAAAAAACTGGATGCGAGCCCCTGAAGAAGCAATTCACTTGAAACATACAATGATCACCGGAGGGGGGAGATCTACTGAAAGTATTCTTTAGAGATGAGCAGTCAACAGCAACGACAGCAACAGCAACAACAACAACAGCAACAGCGACAACAGCAATAAAAGCAACGACAATAACAGCAACAACAACAATCATGTTAAGACTGTTCGCTCTTATACGCCCGCCCTCTTCGTGTTCGATCGTACCCCCTTTACGGGGATAGCTTTCTTCCCTGCCACGCGTAAGTGGCGCAGCCTCAGACGGAAGGGGGCCGCTGAGGGCCGCAAAGGAGCCAGGAAGGGCAGCGACAGGGCCACGATGAGCCACCGGCATCGGGGCCACACAGGTCAGCGAGGGGGCCACGGAAGGCCTCCGCGGGGCCACGAACGGCATCAAAGCGCTCCAATAGCCGGGCCACGAAGAGCATCGAGGAGGCCACGAAGGCAGCGGCGGAGCCTTCAAATCCGATTGCGGTCTCGCGAGGGGCAGCGAGGGGCACCGGGACGGACGACAAGCAGCGAGGGGAGGCTGCGGGCCTCACCAGGCGCGTCAGGCGAGCGGACCCCGTCGGGCGGGTCGAGCGGGCGGGTCGCGAATGCGGGGGTCCTGCACAATTGGCCAGGAAGTTCCGGGCGGCATCGCGGTTCCCAAGTAGACCGCAGGGGAGTTCGAGGCGAGAGCGCAAGGCCTGAGCGGCGAGAGCGCGGCGCCTCCGTGAATGGCAAGGGAGTCGCATGCCAAAGCGCGATCCCCGAGTCGGTTGTGAGGAAGGCCAATGCGGGAGCGGGCGGGCCCAGTAAAGTGTGAGGGGGTATCAGGCGGGAGCCGTTGTCGTTGTAGTTCGGGGGCCAGGGGCCAAATTTGAGCCTCGCGACGTTCCGTAACAGAAGCCAGGTGCGAGCCTCGGGAGGGGCATTTCATTTGAAAGAATACCATTTGCGCCAGAGGGAGGGAACCATTCTATTTGTCAACTTCTCGGATTCAACAAGTGCAAGCATCTTCGTTGCGGAACCCCACATCAGCCACGCACCCAGGGAAAGACCTTTCGGCCCCCTCACCCGGATAGCAGCGTCACCATCACCAACAAGATCATCATCATCAGCCTCAGCATCACCATCATCACCACCATCACCATCATCATCACCATCATCACCATCATCACCATCATCACCATCATCATCAGCCTCAGCATCACCATCATCACCATCATCATGGCATCATCATCATCAGCCTCACCATCATCACCATCATCATCATCATCATCATCATCATCATCATCATCATCATCATCAGCCTCAGCGACATCATCATCATCACCACCATCATCATGGCATCATTAGCATCAGGACATCGTCCTCGTCGTCATCCGCGTGGCTGCTCTCGGCCGCTGCCCCCGGCGACGCGCGAGCACGGGGGCCCACTACTTTGCCCCGCTCGGCGCGCCCTCTCCGGCGCCGCCTCTCCGCAGGCGACGATGCCGTGGTCGCAGTCGGAGCTCGTCCACGCTCCGCCCACCGAGGAGACCGGGGAGGAGGAGGAGGAGGAGGAGGAGGAGGAGGAGGAGGAGGAGGAGGAGCAGGAGGAGGAGGAGGGGGAGGAGGAGGAGGGAGGAGGAGGAGGAGGAGGAGGAGGAGGAGGAGGAGGAGGAGGAAAAGCGCTCACCTTCCAGGTTGGATCTCAGCCCGTGCCCTGACGGCTCA